TCTGCTAGAAAACTTACAGTTTAATTGGAGTTATGAAACCACCTGCAGGGTGTGTCGTGTTTTATTCATGTTTAGATGTTAGATTTGTCAGGCTTTTTTTTCTTTTTTTCTTCCTCTCGCTTCCATTGTCAGAATTTGACTCAGTTGGTTGCACTCTTAGTTCTGAGTCATAGTTTTGAGGCTCAAGTCTCATGTCGGGACTTTGAATTAATAGTCTACTCAACTGCAATGCCATAAGAGCACTGCAATGTCAGAGGTGCAACCCTTCCGATGAGACGTTAAACTGAGGTCCCATCTGCCCATCCAGTTGGACATTAAAGATTCCATGGCATGATTCAAAAACAGAAGGGAATTTTTCTCAGTGAACGTGAACCAAACTTTGGTCATCTTACCCTTCCCCACACTTGTCCCACCTCAACTTATTATAATAATAATAATAATAATAATGATCCATACAGTTTATATAGCTCCTTATCACAATAATAATGATAATCCTTGCATTTGATATAGCGCCTTATCATGTCTTCAAAATGTCTCAAAGCACTTCACAGAATGTACTGTAAAGTGAATTCATTGTATTTTTGTGGGCGAAACACAGCAGCCAATTGTGCACAGCAGTGTTGATTGCTATCCTTCTTCCTGCTTAGACACGGTACAATTGCTGTGAACATTTCGCAGATTCCACTCTATATTGAATGCTTTAGGAAGTCATGATCTTGAAATTAATTTCAATCTGTTAGTTTGTATTGAATCACAGGCACTTGAAGAAGAATTTGATTGAATGTGAGGGCTTCTTACCTTTGTGCACCCTTGATCATTTTTTTATACTGGTTTGCTCAAGTTTGCCAAGGGCTTATTAATAATAATAATAATCCTTGCATTTGATATAGCGCTTTTCACGTCGGGAGGACGTCCCAAAGCGCTTCACAGAACACACTGTAAAGTGAATTGACTGTATATTTGTGGGCGAACGCGGCAGCCAATTGCGCACAGCAATGTCCCACAAACAGTCGTGGATTGAAAATGACCAATTTATTATTGTTTTTGGTTTTGGAGTTATTAGAATATATTTGTGTTTCCTTGACTTCCTTTGCAACTGGAAAAGATGTTTTGGAGTTTTGGAGTTATTAGAATATATTTGTGTTTCCTTGACTTCCTTTGCAACTGGAAAAAATGTGGAAAAAGCAGCAAATTCCTTATGAAATGAAATAATGGATATCTTCAGCTGAGAGACAAAATTGTTTTACATTTCCAATTACATAAATCTACTCGGTCAGTCAGGAAAGTCATAAAACCTGCCCATGAGCAAAAATGTGCTATCTTACCTTTCAATTTAATGACCCCGCATTATTTGTTGCAAATGCGGCAAAAAGTGTATGATTTCAATTTCACATTGTATGAATTACAGCTCAGTATAATACAATTTACATTTATTTTGGGGCTTTTCGCATCAGGAAGACTTCTCAAAGCATTTGACAAAGCTATGTGCGCACCTGATTGGAGCCAAGAGGGGTGGGAAAAGGAAAGATAATTGAAAACATGGACATTTTTGTGATGTGCCTCGAACAAGAGGAAGGAGCAAATCTGAGGGGACTCTGAAATAGAGTTAGAGAGAACAGGAGCAAAATGGCTGAAAGCCCGCCTGCCGATGGTGTGGTGGAGAGGACAGAAACCTGAAGCAGCCCAGTATTTGCTGAGCGAAGGAAGCAGCCATGTCAGTGTAGTTGAAGGAAAATGCCAAGATAAGGTGCATAGCATTTGTGCTATCAGTGACTTACAATGGGCAGTAATGAGGTTGATCCTAGCATAGGGCATTGGGGTACAATACCATTGCTTGTCCTGATCCTGGTTTAGGGCATTATAAGCATATTTTATGTTAGTGTATTTAAAAGGAAACCTGTATTGTCTGTTGAAATGAATGGGAAACAGAGTGTTGAAAGTTGTGATACGTATGTGTGATTACAGTAATATTTATGTAGCTCTCAGTCTGATGATGGAAAGGGGGCGTATTTTGATGTTAGTGGGAGCACTCTCTAAATAAGATGAACCAGTTCCAAGGAAAAATGCCTTTTTCTTTGCTTTCATTCTGTCTCTTTTTTTCTAGATGGTTAAAGCAAAGGCTTGTAATAAATCTATTGTTTGTGCATGGACGATATTACCTGGCAGTGTAGCCTTACAGAGAAGAAAGCCTGATTTCTAGATTCTGTGGCACTGTTTGAAAAGAGAAGGGAGTTTGTAATTTGTAGGAAAAACATAGCAGATGTTTGGCTCAGAGCGAGGTCCCATAGACATCCTTCAGGTGAATGACCAGCTTTTCTAGTGTCCTGTTGGCTACAACGATGGGAGAAACCCCTTCTATTATTAAATAGTTATGGGAACTTTAACGTTCACATGAACAGGCAGGCAGGTCCTTGATTTAAGGTCTCATCTGAGGGGCAGGATGTCCGACAGTGCAACTCTTACCCCAGAACTACACTGGAATGTGAGTGTGGATGCTGAGCTCAGGTCCCAATGAGGAACTTGAATCCACAATCCTCTGACCCAGAAGTGAGAAGGCTACCAACTGGGATAAGCTCAATACTACAACATGAATTTAACTGTGAGCTATTCTATGTAAGTGTAAGATAGATAGTTTAAATAGAGAAGAGCATTCAGTAAAATAATCACTGGAACAATTTATTGGTTGTTCTTCCTTTGATCAGTAAGACTGTATGATTGTCCGATGGGTCAGCCATGCACTGGATAAACCTGCCAAGCTGTTATATACGTCACATGAAAGTGTGAGGTACACACCAGATTTCAGTTTAATCTTTCAGTGTTGCATTTTTCATTTTATGGTGAGATTTTCATGTTTTCTATATTTTCTGGACCAAGAAGTGCAGGGCTGGTAATTTTACCTGAATAATTGGAGGCACGATGTTGTTTATTTCATATTTTGAGCTGTGGGTCAGCAGTGACACATTTTAATAATTCATACTGGTATTTTCCCAGCGCCTTGTGACATCCTCCACATGTGAAAGGTGCTATGAATCCAAATATTAATTTGAAACTTTCACCTGTGGACATTGTTTTGTGATATTTATTTAGTTATTTCAGACGATCCCAAAAATACAGCTTCTGCAATAGTTTATCCAAAGGCTCAATTGTGAATTCTAAATGTTTTTGTAGGGGAATGTGGTTGTGACAGACCAACAGGTTAAGTTGAAAAACTGCAGATTTTCTCACCTGGCATACAAATAAACTTAAGAACTGATTTACTCAGTAATCCCTTAATCGGGAAATTGTAGAACTGCAAAGAAATCATATGCCTACACATGGTAATGCAAGAAAATAATTCCTTTGCACTAAAATTAAAACATGGAAATGCTAGATAACTACTTTTAATGTTTCAGCTAAAGCAATGATGCTGAGGGCTGAAAATACACCCATATTTACCAGAATTTACTGAAGAATTCTATGAAACTTCAGTTGCAGTTAGTTCTAAAGATAATGAATATTGAGACTCCTGAGGTTGGAGAGAGAGTGTAATGTCTGAGGCAGCAGCACAGTTGTGGCTGCTCATCCAGTTAAGCCCTGTGCTATATCACAAACACTTGAGGTGATACAACACTCAAATGCTAGTATTTGTTTTTGTTGTGCTGATTGACTCCTCGGGATTGACAACATGGAATAAACCACCTTTGTTGAAAATTAACTACAGCATGATTCAGTCAGAGATGTCCTGTAGTTTCCCAGAACAAAAGCTTTATTATGCAAGGACAATATAACTTTCTACATGGCATAAGGTGCATACAAAATATAAATAGTATTGACTGGATCAGTGAGTTAATCATTCCTTATGCTGTAAGTATCTATGGTAATTTAAGAGCAACAGCTTGACTTTTATGGCACATAAAAGGAAAATGTCTCAAAGCATTTTATAGAAATGGATTGTGAGTCCAGGTAGTAGAGCAGGAGGGGGTGGTGAAGGCACAATCAATGAGAGAGGTTTTTAGATGAACTAATTGTGCTTAGATTCTAATATTTCAATTGATTGTCAGCATTAAAAGAGAGTCTACGGCACAATACATTGTTCCAGTCCATATGTTTCACTGGTACTGCACAATGCCAGCTCACTTTTGTTTCTAACTAACATCTGCTGTCCCCGATTGTTGAGCTTACATTGCATTCTCAGGTCTCTGCACCCAGTTTCCTGAATGTCAAAGCAGTGTAGCTCAGGTGAACAGAGTAGAGACTGTCAGTGTGATAAACCATGTTGGATCAGGAAGTGCCAACTTTGGTCCATAGAGCAATCATTCCAAGTACTATTACAGGATACAGGAGATTTGTTTTAGCCCCTTGGAGGCCACTTGATCCCAGTAGAACAGTGATTTCCTGTGGATTGGAGCACAGCTGCTTAAGAGAAAATGCAGCTAATCGCTTTCCATAGTTTTGCTTGCTGCTGGTCTTGGAGCCATTCTGAGAGATGCTAGGAATTGGGGGAGGGGCATTATATCAAGTTCCATAAATATGGCAGTATTTTTGTAAATTTCACTTTTCAAAATCCTGTTGGTAATTAACATAATAAAATGGCAAGTAAATTACACTGTACTAAGTGCTGAAGAAAATAGGAACTATTCTTAACAATGAAAGAAGAGTCAAGTAAAACCAAAGTGCTGAATAAATTATGTGTTATCGAATGTGATTTTAATAACAATAATACTAATAATCCTTGCATTTGATATAGCGCTTTTCACGTCTTCTAAACGTCTCAAAGCGCTTCCCAGAATAGACTATAAAGTGAATTGACTGATTTGTGGGCGAAACGCGGCAGCCAATTGCGTACAGCAGCGTCCCCACAAACAGTCGAAATGATCAATTTATTATTGTTTTTTTTTCTTGAGGGATTATTATCAGGTGTGTGGAGTAAGGAAACTTGCCCAAGGTTTCACCCTGCCAGGGATCAAAGTATATGTAGACTGAATAAACACTGAGTAACGAGCTGTCACTTCACTTCTCAGGTATTACAATGTTTCGTTACCTTTATATTACCACGCTCATGGGGATGAGAGTCCATTTATTTGTTCACTGCCTCAAGATAACGGTATGCAGAAATGCCTGGAACTTCCGAATTTTAAAGAAAATGGAGCCAAATGTTTCCTCAGCCTGGATCCTTACAACCACCTAACATACAATTCGGAAGTGAGCAACAGAAGTGGCTGTATAAACTGGAATCAATATTACAACGTGTGCAACACCGGAAATGTAAACCCCCATAAGGGAGCCATCAATTTTGATAATATAGGATATGCCTGGATCGCCATTTTTCAGGTAAGACTCCCAAGTTATTAAAATGTATTTGTTTTTTTTCCCTCTTGAGTTTTTGATACCAGTAAACAAAAAAACTTTAAATTCCCTTTTTTTAATCTAATTGTCAAGTAATTGATTTGCTTTCCAGCTGTCACCATCCTGAAAACGTTCTGTCCACTGACAATATCTCACTGTAGCTGTTGAATAGCTCCAGGGTTCAATGCAATAATGAATTTGGACCGTCTCTCAACCAGATTTCCAGTGGATGTGGCCCATACCCACAGGGGGATGGGAAATGCAGAAAAAGAATCAGTCTGTTACTATTGACCAGAATGAGGTTGTGGATTAAGGTATGTCGGTGGCCACTTGGAGGCAGCTTAGCTGTTGATCTCAACCAGGCTGAACAAAAAGGAGCGTTTTTTTGTTGATTCCAAGATGGAAACCTGTTCCATTCTCTAGTGTGATCAGTCTTCACCTTGGTGACGTCAAACCCACTGACCATTTTTAAAAAAGCAATAATAAAGAAAATGCTCGTTCAAGCACTTTTGACAGGTTTACCTGTACCTACTTCACTACCTCATATTCTCATTAAAATTCACTGAAGAAAGAAAGGCATTATACAATAATTAGCTGTCTAACAGACCATTTATACAGAATTTGGCACTGATTTGAATATTTTTTCTTCGTTCAAAGGAAAGTGCAGTATAAATCAGTTTTAAGTGCAGTGTAAATCAGTTCTTAGGAACATGGATTCCATTCGGAGACCTACTCCAGCTTAGAAATTAGCTTCAGGAAGCAAATAATTGCTTCGATCACAATGTAAATCAGGTTTGCAGTATGGCTGCTATTGAGTGGACAAGGTTTTATACTTTGAAACATTTGCAAGTTTAAAGTTCTCACTTGGTGAATTAATTTGTCCTAAGAAAAGGTGAATGCTGCCAAGGATACTATCTCATTAATAATATTTTTTTATAATGCACGGAATTCTCAGCTAATGGAATGTTTGATTTTGCAGTGGGGAACATGAAACTGACTTCCAGTTTCTAATTCCTGTTATTGGCAGAGATAACAAACTGCTGCAGCAGTAATAATTTACCATAATGCACTCAGGGTGACTTCCAGTTGTTTCCTATGAGAAACAAAGTTGCATTAATGCTACTTTTTGCTCCCCCGAGTACAGTTGCATTTATATCACTCTATATCACTGAAGGTGTGAGGGTCATTTGCTCGCTGCCTTGAGACGATAGCAAACTGAGATGTCAAGACCTTTCGAATTTAAAAGAGTTGCATGCTCTGTGCTCTGTTGAATTTCACTGCACCTGGCGTCTTTTTTTAGTTCTATAGGGATCTCGTTGATTCATCCTACATAATAAGAAGCCCTTATAAATTATATAGTGCTGAAGCTTGAACTCTCGTCTCCCAGCAGAGATCATTTGACTCCAGCTGACGGGGCAACACAGATTTTTAAAACATGTATAACTTCACAAACACTCCCAGAGTTTCAAAGGAGGTCACTGTGTCCTCCAAGTTACTTAAAACCGTTTTGATAACCTAGCTGAATAATTCTTTTTGTTAATAGAAGACATCTTGAGGGCAATTGTCCCCATGGCAATAATAGTTACTGACCTTGGTGAAGTGCTGTTATGATGGGATTGGCCCATTATAAGCAAATGCTGTCAAGGTCACTAATTACTGACAAGGCAAGAATGTCCTTCAGTTTCTAAAGAAGTAATGAGATGCATAGTATATAAGTTTCTCTACTCTGCTGCATTCAGCATTCTAGGACTTTACAATTTTGACGATTGCGTATTTTAAACAAGCAGGTTCCTTCTTCAGAGGCTTGAGTTTGGCCCCTATTTGGAATTTAATAACAAATAAATTCTGGAAGGAAGCATAAGGCCCAACAATAATAACACTATTACAAGGAAATCCACCTCTTCAACCACACCTACCGACATCCGCCCCCTGCCACTTCTCCTTTGCTCAAGATCCTCACTTTCACCTTCACACCCTAGGACCTTCCCACCTGTCTGACCTGCTTGTTCCCCACTCCTCTGTCCACCCTACTCGCTCAGTTGGCACATACCTGTTATGCTTCCCCCTACGCCTCCATTGTGACCATATTTTCAGCAACTATACCTTTGGAACTTCCTGCCACAATTCCTTCACATCGCCCCTCTCTTTATCTATCTTTAAATACTACCTTAAGAGTTATCTCTTCGACCGCACCTTGCCTCGCCTTTCTCCCTTGCTCAGTATCCAACTCCACCATTGTACAGAGTTCCGAGACTCTATCCTGCATGAAGGGCGCTATAAAAATGTGTGTGTTGTAAATTAAATAACTGACCACCTAGATAATCATGTTATGTGGAAAAAGGTTGAGTTCATTCATGAATTCCCTTTCAAGTCAAACTTTAAAGGTGATTCAACTCTTTATCAATCCTCTTAAATCGAGTGACCCCAAATTCTTTCTCTTGGGATTTCTAATATAATTCATTTGGAAACAATATTGCACTTTACATAGTTCATCATTAGAAACTGCTTTTCATTGAAATGGTAATATCTGACATTTAACATCCAACCCCAGGTGAAATGAAATGAAAAAATAACATAAATAGTTAAGAGGTGCAATTCGGCCGGATCAACGTTGCTTTTAAAGAAAATCTAATCAATTTGAAATCGTACTAAATCATATAATATGAGCAAACTCAGGATGATTTACCTTCATTAAGGTTATAAGCAAAATTGTTAAGATCATCTGAAGGACCTGTTGATTAATTCCTTTGAACTATGTTATGTTATGTTGTCTGTGCTGGGATTGCTCATAATATAAGTTGAAGTATAAACTCTAAATATTGTCTTTTACCCTCCATTTCCAGTGTACATAGCTAAAACTTTTAACAACATCACAAGTAGATTGACCCATTTAACCCATGAAAATGACTTTTAGGCCCATTTGACCCATCCTTCCAGATTACCAACCTACTGTCTTCCATCACAGTATCAAGCTGTTTTTTAAACTAGTCCAATGTTCTTGCCTCAACCAGCCTTTTTAGAAACTTATTCCAGTTATTAATTACCCTAGGTATAACAATAAAGCAATAATTCCTGGTATCTGTCCCCAAATTACCCTTTGCAGCCCTTAACCTGTGTTCTCTTAGTCTGCTGTCTTAGTGCATCTGAAAATATTAAACATTGTTCTGGTTCAGTTTCTCAATTCCATTTAAAATGTTGTATACAATGTAACTCTCTCTCTCTCTGAGTTGCTGACAATTCATTTCTTTATTCCTCTTTTACCTTGTTCAATAGTCAATTACCTCTTCTTTGACTTTTGTATGACTCTTAGTCCCCAGCACTATTTTATTTCCATTTCATCTTTTACATTGTATATTTTTATAACTTGGAATATTGTTAACCTCCTTTCCAAGTCCTCCCTGGAATACATCTGATTGCTCCAACGATTTTAATTAATGATTAATTTACATTTGCAAGTGCAAACATTAAGAGGTTAAATAAGGGAAAAGCAGAAATGTTCACCAGTGATGTTAATCTTTTGAAGTACTCAAGAACATTGTACCGATTTTATATTCTGTGAATTTTGGAAAGATTCCAACGTTGCATTAAAATATTATCATTTTGCCACAAAATGTAGTCAATTCACTTTACAGTATATTCAGTGAAGCTCTTTAAGATGGATCGAAGACGTGGTAAGGAGCTATATCAAAAGCAATGAAATTATTATCCCAGATGTTGCATTAATCTATATAGCAGCATTATATATTTTTGTTTAACATCAATAGAAAATATAATCCCTACATTTGATGTAGCACCTTATTACATCATTGAGACGTCTCAAGCTGCTCCATAGGATTTTACTGTGAATTAGTAGGTGAACAGAGCACCCAATTACTTTCTCAATCCTATTCAAAATTTTATATGGTAATAATAATAATCCTTGCATTTGATATATATCTTCATAATGTTTCCTGTGAGACATCTCTTTTCAAGATGGGGAGCTCCAGTTTGTCTAAGCAATGCTCATAGCTCATTCCTCAAACAGCAGGAGTCATCTTCATTGGTCTCCTCTGTACTGTCTCTAGGGCTGTGGCCTTATGTCCCCTTATGTCATGGTGACTCGAGCTGTACACTGTACTCCAGGTGCAGCCTGACCAGAGTACAGTTTTGTGCCTCTGAGGCACTGAACTCAACTGATTTGGCAAGATTTCCCAGCATCATGTTTGTCTTGTTTATTGCTGTAACACACTTGAATTTCTTTTGGCATCCTGCTTGACATGTTATATCTCATCCATGCAATAGCAACCACCCTCTTTGAGGAGGATATGCTTATGGATTCTTTAGAGCTTAGCTGGCTCCAAGGTGACATGCTTGGCAATATCCAAATCAAGTCTCAACCCTCTGTGATCCTCTCAGGAGTTCATTTCCTGAGCCAAGTGGTTCCCCAGTTTTCTGAAGGGAGTCTGGATTACTGGAATTCCTTACTCAGGCAGACCAGCAGGGGGTAGGGGGAGAAATCCTAACAAAAAAGATTCAGCACCGTCATGTGAAATGTGATAATTTTCAACGTCAGATGGCGTCACTCCAGGAAGGCTCCAGTGTTGGAATCACACATAGAGGTGTTATGGACGTGCTTGTATTTTGGTCTAAAGGTTCAAAGGACCTGCTCCCATTGCATTTTCCAAAATGTTCATTGTTTTGCTGCAGAAGTAAATAATTAGAGATCCTCCACGGGGAGCTTGATTTTTAAAATATAGTGCTTGTGGATACCAGGCAAACACACTTCCTGTAGTTCTTCAACAATGTATTATACAAGCAGCAGGGGATAGCTATATTCAGAGAAGGGATGCAAGCATGTCCTCTTTGTTGTTACCTGTTGTGGATTAACAATTCCTTTTTTTTGCAGAAAAGGGTAATTAGAAGGATGCCATATTAAATCATTGTGGAATTGCTTTGTTCTTTCCATGCACTGCGAAATTCAAAAGATGGGCTTTATTTGTTCAGATTTCCTGCCTGGAGATTCACAGTGCAGATTAGAATGAATTCCTAAATTCCTTTTTAAACAAAATGAGTCAAGGCCTCACTCAGCCAACTATTCACATGTAAAATAAGTACCCAATTCTGTCCGTACTCCCACCCTCTGTTATCACAATGTTCAGTGGAAGCACTGAGGTTGGAATAAACTGTAGGTGTCCGCATTTTATTTCTATAAAATCTTAGAATGTCATTTATATAAAATAAGTGACTGATTCTAATGAACAAAGCATTGCATATTGTTTTTGAACCTGACAACTGTAAGGTGAATACATCAAGCACCTGGTACAACAGCTGTTATAACTATACTACATTGTTTAAGGGGATTCTAGTATACCTTTCAAGAAGAAGGTGGACAGGCATTCGAAAGAGAGGGGCTTGAAGGGGTATGGAGATAAGGTGGGGCGATGGGATTGAAGCGATATCCTTGCTCTGTGAGCTCGATGAGCTGAATGGCCTCTTTCTGCTGTCTATTTCTATGTTTCTAGAGTTTTTTCACCTGTGCTAATGTTCCTTGAGCCTATTTTCAACAACAACAACAAGATTACATTTGTATAGCACCTTTCACGTCGGGAGGACATCCCAAGGCATTGGACAGAGTACAGCATTTCAGACCTGAGCTGGGGTCGGGGGGGGGGGGGGGGGGGGTGGGGGGGGGGGAGGGAGGGAGGGAGGGAGGGAAAGGGGGAAGGGAGGGGAGGGGACACATAATTCAGACATGTTTTAAAACATAAGTAGGGATTGCAAGTACATATTTAAAATAGTTTCAGTTGTTAATGTTATCAGGGATAACAGAATAACAAATGCAGCAATCTGAATATTAACTCTGTTATGCCATGGGACTTGCAGTGAACTACTGATTTGTTCTATATTCTAATAAAAATCTGTTACACTGTTTAAATCTGTTAAAAATCTGTGCAGTAAATTACAATGTCTAAGTTATGTATTACTTAAGGGAATAAAAGAATGAAATTACCTTCCGACTTTTCCACCTGGGAGGTACTCCCACCCCCTCACAGACACAGAAACACAGACAGAAACACACACAGAAAGACAAATATACACAAACACCACGCACACTAAAACTTGAACATGCATATGCAGACACACTCACACATGCGCGCACACATATATATATACACGCACACATACACATATGTATTCAGTGAAACCCACCGTGAGTATTAATTTTGCCTTTTTTATAGCCCATATGAAGCCATGCAACAATCAAAATCAGTACTTCCAGTCCTTAAAATGCTTAATCAGAGTGTTTACCGGACTGCAGCATGTAATTAAGGTCTTCCTAGTTCAAGCACCAGAATAGTCCTCTTCAAGATCTTGATCATTTTTGCACAGAAGTAAATCAAGCTCAGGCCACATTGAAGAGCCTCCGAGTCTATCTTTGAATCAGCGTCAGGAATTGAGCTGATGGTTTAACCATACTTGAACTCACTCAGACTATCAGTAGTGCCGAGCATAGAATCATAGAATTATACAGCACAGAAGGAGGCCATTCGGCCCATTGTGTCTGTGCCGCTCTTTTAAAAGAGCTTCTAAATCAACCCCACTCCCCCGCTTTCTCCCCATAGCCCTGCAAACTCGTCCTCCCCAAACTTGTCCTCTGCTTAACTGCTGCCTAATGTTGTGAAGCTTGATATATTGACCTGTTGTCTTGTAAAAACAAGATTTCATTATAAAAAGGCTGTATTGCATTTCCATGTAATCTCATTTAAATAGTAACAGTAATGGTTTTGTATGAAAGATGATAGTCATTTGTCCTGTGCACTAGCAGAATGTGTCATTAATATACTCTCTCCCTGTTACTGATTCCATTATCCACTGGGTTGAGTAACGTAATGTATAATATATTATTGCTGTGAGATACCGAGCTGAAATACAGAAGCTGCTTTACCAATAATGGAAGTATTAATATTTTCATTTGATATAGTGTCACTCGCATTAATACATCTCAAAGCACTTTCACTGTGAGTTACTTTTAAGTGGAATGACTATTTACGAAAGCAAGCAGAGTAGTGAATCAGCATCGCCCACCAAACAGCAGTGAGATTGACAAGCTAAGCAGTCATTTACTTTTTGGCTGTTTGTGCCACATTGCTGTGGGCAAATTGACTGCATCATTCGTGACTGAACTACAGTAAATCTTGTGAAATGGTTTGAGGTATTCTCCTGCCGTGAAAAGCGCTGTATCAAATGTGAAGGTTTATTCAGTTGTAAAGGATGGGTGGTGGGGGGGAGATATTATGCAGGGTACCTGGAAGAAGGTCCTGCTCTACCTTAGAATTGCACCATAGGATCGTTTCAATCTATAAGAACAAGCGACATCTCAATTGTGTACATTATAAATACTAGGCAGCATGTTCCACATGGCAACGTGCCCTCCAAGGTGGGATAATAACCATATAAACCACTTGAGCTTTGCTCATGCCTCTACTTATCATGCCTCCAAACTGCTTGTGCAACCTGGTAACGCACTCCCGGTCATCCTTTGATTTCTTTTATGTCATTTTCTATTTCAAATGATACAAAAACAAAAGTAGAACATTGTCTCCATACAAATTAACTCTAGAAAATTGATTTTTTTCTTAAACTTTGGTTTGTTATGTAACCCATTTGCACTTGAGAGTAAACTTGTTTTCTGATATCTGTGAAGAATTTGTGCAGCAATAATTAGCTGTCAAATGCCCCTTGCCTAGTGGTTCAGGGACTTTCCTCTTTTCACAATTAGTTAATCAGGATGAGATGTGGTTTGTAGCTTTATTTTAATTGTGGCCTGTAGGCAAAGTTTCCACAAAAATAGGGCAACTTGCAGAGTACTCTCTTTATCTCAGTAGCTTGTCAATTGTTTCTGTGGGGCTTGCAATTAACAATTGTATTATAGACACTTGCCTTCTCCTGCAGCTGGAAAAAAATGCTTCCCCTGTGATGTCCTCTGTGCCACCATCTATGGCTGTGTCTTCAGCCACTGCACCCCTAATCTCTGAAAATCTCCTTTATCCTCTTTATGTATTTTTGAATCCCACCTAAAGACCCCCTTCTTTATTATATATTATATTAATAATCCTTGCTTTTGAGTGTTTCACGTCCCAAAGCACTTTAAAGATTTACTGTGAAGTGGAGTGACTCTGTATTTGTAATGATAATAATCCTTGCACTTGATATAGTGCCTTTTCACGTCATTGTGACATCTATAATGTGCTTCACGGATTGTGGATTGACTGAGTATTTTATGGGTGAAACACGGCAGCCAATTGCCCACAGCAGTGTCCCAAGAACAGCCATGAAATGAATGACCAATATTATTTGGGGGGGGACTGTTGGTCAGAACATGGGGAAAAACTCACTTCTTTTTTTGAATATAGCGATGGGATCCTTTACGTCCACCTGAACAGGCAGTGAACTTTAAAAACTGGTGTTGATGTCTCATCCGAAGGACAGCACCTCCCCCATCCAACACCCCACAAGCACTTCATTTTTGTCAGAATAGACTATGTGAGTCCTGACCTGAGGCTTGAACCCATAACCTTCTGTCTCAGAGGTTAAAGTTCTACCACCGAGCCAGGCTGATGGACAGATAACAGTAGCTGTAATCACCTCCCCCCTCCCTCATCTCACTTGTTCAGAGTCCACACCTACTGCTCTACTACACTTCGAGACACTATCCTGTGTGAAGGCTGCAATATAAATACAAGTTGCTGTTGCTTAGCAATGGGTGTCTTTTTTTAAAAAAATAGTGGGGGAAAACTATCTTATTCAAATCTAAGGCACAGTGAATCTAATACAAGGGTAGATTTTAGAGAGAGAGTGAGGGGGTGGGGGGGGGAGTTACTGCAATTCCTAGGTACCATTGACTTTTAAGGTGCACCCTGACTTTGGAGGTACTTAATAATGCTATTAATACAACTCACTGTACAAGCAATATCCAAACACGTAGTGTACCTTTGATATTTATTGGGAGCAATATGCCCAGTCGCGAATCACCGGGCAATTAAACATCTTTCTCCTAATTCAAAGCGATGTGATTCATTGTGAGCATTTCTATTTATTCTTGTAAAAAGTTAATAATATGGTGTTTCTATGTTTTCCCACTTAGGTTATTACCCTGGAAGGATGGGTGGACATCATGTATTATGTTATGGATGCACATTCTTTTTACAATTTTATATATTTTATATTGCTTATAATAGTAAGTATTTATTCTTCAGATCTTACAATGATTTTAAGGCTCACATTAAAAGCAAATGTTTATGGGGCCAATATTTATATGTTTCCAAATAGGGCCTGAGGAAGTAAACCCAGAATAATACTTTTGACCTAGTTGTAAAATGTTTGCAGCAATTTAACTTTTGAATTATTTGCTAGTCTATTATTTTAATATATTTATTGTAAGCTCTTAGTGATTGGGTCCACTGTTGAATAGTCTAGTTTGTTTGATTTTACAAATAGACTTCACTAATAAAGCTGGTTTAAATTTCTTAATTCGGTGAGTGGGTGTAGGCTTTCCAAATATCAAGCCTTTAATGAAAAGATCCAGCAGCAAGCTGGCCATCCCCAGGCTGCCGTTCCTTCTCTCAACATGCTGAATTGGCAACTTTATCATTGTCCCTTTCATTGAATCTACAAACACCTGTGAAGAGAGGAGAAAGGTAGCAAGAAGTGCTTTGAGCAGTATTCTCACTTAATACCAACTTGAAATAAATTTAGTATAATGTATTACTTCCAACCTCAACTGAGGCTAGAAATGTCAGCTAGCCTTTGCTGGTAAGCTATCACACAGAATGTTGAGAAAATTATTAAATTCAGTCTTCATTTAGATGGCGTTTTCCCTCAGTTCTTAAAAAGAAGCAGTGTTCCTAATGAAGACTGCATTTAAGAGTTTTACATACTTACTTGCAGCAACCTTAGATTTAAAGACCATTGGGTGTCACAGCGCAAAGACCAGAGAGAATTTTAAGAAAACTGAATGCTCACATAAGTCATTTCTGAATTAATGAGTTCAGTTACGGCAACGATTCCTTTGCATATCCAGCAAAAAAANTAAATGATTTAACAATCAGTGATATCCCTCCAAGGGTTTGATAATGTTGTGCTTGATCATTGTAGTCGGTAAGTGTTAATGCTGTGGCATGATGTTTAACTAATTTTGCTTTTTTAAAAAAAATTCTTTAGGTTGGTTCCTTCTTCATGATTAACCTGTGTTTGGTTGTCATAGCAACTCAGTTTTCTGAAACAAAGCAACGAGAGAATCAATTAATGCAGGAGCAGCGAGCACGTTTTCTTTCAAACGATAGCACAATTGCAAGTTTCTCTGAGCCAGGCAGTTGCTATGAGGAGCTCATTAAGTACATTTGCCACCTCTTAAGGAAGGTGAAACGCCGAATTCTGCGTCTTTACAACAGTTGGCAGAATAAGCAAAGAAAGAAGGTCGACCCCAACAGCACAAATGACCAAGGAAAGAGATGGCGGAATAAGGGCCGAGTACGGTCAATTCATCATTTAATCCATCATCATCACCATCACCATCACCACCATTATCATATCAGCAATGGCAGTTCAAGGGCGCAGCGAGACAGTCCAGAACTCTGTGATATGGAGATGAAATCATTGCGAGCTAGCAGTAAGCTCATGCTTCCGTCACCTGCACTGAACCATCAGACTCCTTCTCCGGGTGCCGAATCAGTTCACAGTATTTACCATGCTGACTGCCACTTTGAAGGCCCTCAAATGACTTGCAAGTCTTCCACTGCAGCTAATGTTAAACTGATGGCTGGCCTCACACACCATGGGGACATGAACTACCCAACAATAGTATCCTCTGTGACTAGCAGAAGCAGCTCCATACCAAAATCAAAAGGCAACAAAAGCAGTAATGCTCCCCTCACAGTGGGTAAAATCAGCTCTAACTTGAGCATGTTGGACCCCTACGGCAAACTGCACCATTTTGTGGGAGAACATGGTAAGAAATCTATTTTTTTAATATAATTGACTTTGATATAGTACCTAATCACATCATCAAAATGTCTCAAAGCGTTTCACTGGATACACTGTAAAGTGTAGTGGCTATATTTGTAGGTGAACACGGCAACCAATTTATCCACACCAATTTCCCACAAATATGGGTACTTTCAAGTGATGAGTGCTTAAGATAGCATCATAAACTTGATATAAAAGATCTAGCTTTTTCTAACAGTTGTCTTGGGGGGTTTGCTAGACAGGCCACTAAAACCATCAGTCAGAATCTCAGGTAGTTAAGAAATCAAGCAAAATATTGGAACTATATTTCTGAGGGGCTCATGTATAAATTGAGAGAGATCATTTTCAAATTGTATCTGATCTTGCAAAGGCCACACTTGGACGATTGTGTGCAGTATTGGTTGCCTAATCCAAAAGAGATGCTCAGTTGTAGCAAAGGAATGGGGACTCCAGAATGTGCGCTGAGAGTAAGTGCTGGCGTTTAATCAGCTAAAACTGCACAGCTTGCCATTGTAAGCACTGTCTGGCACCCTGATTTAAAATGGTAAAGATTTTGGATACAGATAAGTGTGTTCACCATATACAAAATTCATCAACAAGACTTTCAAATAAGGACAACCAAGGCAAATAGGAAGTGAAGGATACACATTTCTTTTGTAAAGAGGTGTAGAAGAAACTGCTAGTACAGATGAGAAACAAGAGTTTCAGAAAGGAACTAGACAAGTTGTTGCAACAGAAGTTGGATGGATAGACCAAATGGACCAATGCACTACAACTGCCTAAAACCTACTGTATTAGTAAAAACAAATGTGAAAAGGTAAATTAGAAAATGTCAATTCACAGAATTTTTGATTTAACCAAACACCCATAACAATTGTACCCTTCTGTTGTTTTATAAATCAATGTTGAAAATAGTTTCATGATCATTGCAACAGAAATGATTGACTAGCATCTTGGGGGCAGTTTAGTACTGAATCAGAAAGTGGAGAGTTCTCATCCCAGGACCAACTGTGAAGTCCACAGTAAAACAGTGGCATTTTTAAGATGTGAAAAAAATCAAGAGAATTCTTCATGATTCTCAGCTCGTGTTATTCGTGATAACAGCACTTTCCAACTCTGTGTAGTATTGCTGCCGTATCAGATACCCTCACAGATTTTGCAGTGTTTTCTTACGATGACAAAACCTTTAGATTTTAACAAAATTTTAAAAAAGCTCAGCTGCTATATTAGGTTGGAGAAGGCAGACACTTTCACCTTCTCCCATTATGAGAGTATAATTTCAGACCCTGGACTCATTTAATAAACAGCTCGATGCTATGACAGGTTGATGGCTGGGTGGCTACTCTGGAAGGATGAGATCAGATGAGCCAAAGGAACTTTTTCATCTGAACTTCTCTTGTGATCTTTTAATTACAAAAGTGCAGTTTATCTTACCTCTGTTATCAGTCTGTCCATTTACTGCTGTTGCCGTTTCTGGGATATATATCTGAGAAAACAAATCCTATGCATTTTGCCTACTAAATTTAGTCATTTCATCTCTGTTTAACTCTGATGGTGCTGCAATTGAACTAATGTAAGAGCTTGACTGACGTTACAGGTTATCTTATGAGTCAGCTTTCTGTCATTACGTTGCATTCAGAACCTGCATCCGAGAGAATGAAAGAGATCAAACAAGACTATTGGAAAGGGAAATATATTCTCTATATATATATATTTCCAATTATCAAACATAGAAAGACGCAGAAAAAAGGTGATTAGAGCTTCAGCCATTAATTTTTAAATCAATGCAACTCTTTCATTGCCCCTGCTGTAATGAACTAAAATTTAAACTTTTCAAAGTGAAGCCCATTTAAGATAGTCAGCTCTGCTATTGCATTATTACTTGCAATATATCTGTAGAACCAATTACTGTGGTTGCCAGTGGCTCCCACTGCTAGCAATTTGGGATGAATATAAAGTGCTCAGTGTATTGCAGGTTAATTGTGGCTGGGAGGTGCCGTCCCGTCTTGTGGAGCAAATCAACCTACCAGTCAGGTTACTTAGTCATCTTATGGTGATTTTAGACAGAAATGATTACATATATTTTTGCAAACAATGCTGGACTTTCTCTGTAAAATGTGACTGCTCTTTGAAGTTAGCTGGGTCTATTCCCTTACGATGAAGACTGTTGATTAACTAAAGTATCTCCTATCCTTCCTTGTTATCACTGGATTTATCTCTTTCCTGACTTTCAAGCCATGAAAGCTTGGAGAGACTTTCATGCTGCAGATGTGGGGGAAGGCAAAATGGGTAATGGCACGGAGTAAGGTTTAAAAGGCTGTTGAGGGTCGAACAAAACACCGAGGTTCGGTGAGGTGAAGAGTGCATCCATGAATAGTGGTGTTATCGGCACCTGAGGTGAGGAGGCGCTGATGGAAGCCAAGCAGGAGAACCTCGGTCTTGTTGAAATTCAATGTAGGAAATTGGCTCTCATCCAGGCTTGATGTCTGACAGACAACACGTCAGGACAGCAGTGTTCTGGATTCAAGATTTATCAATTTACGTTTTTTATATAAATTGATGAGGTTTATTTCGTGAGGTTTTACCTCATGGTTGGTCCGCACCAGAGATTGGTTCAGGTTGAGTTGATATCAAAAAGGTTAAGGAACATTAGTGTATCACAATATTTCATATTCTTCAAAGACTTGTACTAGTTGTCCTCTAATGTTCTATCCTGAGTACAGTTGGTAGTCCTATACTTGGATACAAATCCCTGACTGTCCAGTGCCCTGGGACATCCTTCCGACATGAAAGGCGCAGTACAAATATAATTTGTTGTTGTTGGAGTTGCATCTTTGTTATTTGGTAAGTAAAACGGAGATCCCACAGGCTGCTAAAATTTATTTTGTAGACAGCCATGACATGAGCAATTTAAGAAGTTGCCACAATAGGGTAAGTGGCTGAATATTCACCACATTGTACTTATGAAACAAATTGGTGTTTGTTTTCTTTAGGTCGTCACAAAAAATTGCCCAATTGACTGCATTGATCTAAACAGATACAAGTTACCATGGTTATTTTGTTTATGCCCTAATGAGGATTTCTTCCACACATTAATTAACTTAAATTGTCTTCACCTAAATTTGAACCAAAGATTAAGTTGTAGGTGAAAGGCATGTTTTTTTGTTGCTGTTGTAGTTATCTCAATGAATTCTTTCAGTGAATTAACTGTGTTTCTATTTAATGTTGTTTTGCATAGCAATGTTTTCAGTGATACAGTAATGAGATGAGATCATTATTCGGTCAAATCTGCTCAATCAGTAACATGATGTTGGGATGTAACTACTCCATAACAATATCAGAACCGGGAATCCCTAAGGACTACCACTGAGCCCTTCTATGTAATTGCAGTAAAAGAGTGAAATTCCTACTTTACTGAGACCTCTAACTATATATATAATATATATAGTTAGACATACATATATAGATACATATACTGTATATATAAGTGTCACTATATCTTGATAATCAATTTAGTTTTAGTCTTCAGTCTTGAGAAATTTAATCTTTGTTGCAGGTGTCTGTCGAAGTGCAAGCAAGTTGTCGGGGCTCAGCATGCCATGCTCTGCCCTCAGCACTCAAGCCGGGATCATGGCCTGTGAACTTCAGAGCTGCCCCTACTGTGCCAAGGTCTTAGAAAACCCAGAACTGGAGATCACTGATTCAGAAAGTTGTGATTCCGATGCTGATGGCATCTATGAGTTCACACAAGACGTCCAGCGGACTGACCAAAGGGATCGGAAGCACAAGAACAAAAAGGCGCCAAAGGAAAAGAATAAATGTACCTTGTTCTTGCTATTATTCTCTGAGAAAACAAAAAGAATTGTGGAGAGCAAATATTTCAATCGTGGGATTATGATAGCCATCCTGATCAATACTCTGAGCATGGGCATTGAGCACCATCATCAGGTAAGTCTGAATAAAACCTTTTGTTTCCCGAGTGACTGAAATCTCAGAGGATAGAGATTGGTTCACTTAATATCTTTTTGACCTTGTTATACCTTGGTATATTGTTATTTGGAAGCCATGAACCTAGTTAAGACACTCCAGGCTACTTGCTAGTTTGATGAAACTGAGGAGAAATTATATACACGCCCATTTATATTTGACATGAAAGGCGCTGTAAATGAAGATATAGAGGCCTTGACTCTTTTCCGAGCTTAGCTCCTAAAACCATGTCCAGCATTGAATTGGTACATCACCTTGGGTGTGAATCCGGTTCATAGTACCGTCAGTTCCAGTGAACATTTACAATTAAAATCGGTTACATTTAAATCTTCATGGACAGTCCATTAATATCGAATTTCTTTTTTCTGATTGTCGCAATGTAAGTGAGGGGGCAGCACAATGTGCCATGGGGTGTTTTGTCCACAAAATATAGTCAATTTGCTTTAAAGTATATTCTGTGAAGCGCTTTGAGACGTCTAGAAGAGGCGCTATATCAAATGCAAGGAATATTATTAAGACTTCGGCTTGTGTCTATGTGGCGAGAGTTCGGTTTTAGCTCTACCATTGGGAGGACGTACCAAACAAAGGTTAGAAGATTCCCATCGTTAAAAATTGCAAGGGTCAATCACCCTGGTCAAATGGTTCAGACTTCCAAAACCACCGACTTAGAGCAGCATTCATAAACATCTGGTTGCTCAGAAAACAGGATGTCAAGCCTCCTTTGGGCACTCTTGCAGGACTGGAGAAAAATAAATATTTGGTGATCATCTCTTGCACTCTAAGCACAGCATCAGTAGTTCCAACAGGATGTTGTACTTCCACATTCCATAACTCTTTGGGGTTTTGGATGATAATCAAGCCTCATTAATACAACCTGGGAAGTAGCAAAGTGTGTTTTTTAATAGAGATTCATCTTACCACAAGATGAATACCTAATCAGAACTGCAGTTATGCTGCTTCCACCGGGACCCAAGAAAGAAAGTTTTGTTAAAACAAGAGATGGTTTATAATGAGCTTCGACTGTAGATCAATTAACATATGTAGAAGGGAAAACAGTCAAAGCTTAGCCCTCCAATGTTCTAATTGAAACACATGACAGATTCTGCTTGTCCTTTGCTGCCTCAGTTTCTTGATCAAAGAGACTTCACTTTAGAATAATAAATTTAGCAATGAGTCTTGTGAATGCCCGAAGGGCTCATTGAATCTATTTAGCACCATTTGGTTGCAATAATATCAATCCCAAGATAGCTTTTACCTTCATAATAATAATAATAATAATGTGGAGTCCTGTAGCTCAGTGGTTAGAGCACTCGCTTTGCAAGCGAGAGAACTGAGTTCAATTCCAGTCAGGGCGAAACCTTGGGCAAGTTTCCTTACTCCACACAGAGCCTAATAATAATCCCTCCAAAACCCAAAACAATAATAAATTGGTCATTTTCAATCTACGACTGTTTGTGGGACGTTGCTGTGCGCAATTGGCTGCTGTGTTCGCCCACAAATATACAGTCAATTCACTTTACAGTGTGTTCTGTGAAGCGCTTTGGGACGTCCTCCCGACGTGAAAAGCGCTATATCAAATGCAAGGATTATTATTATTATAATAGTGATTCTTGCCTTTGATATAGCGCCCAAAACGTCTCAAAGGGCTTCACAGAACATACTGTAAAGAATTCACTGCATATATATTTTGTGGGTGAAATGCGGCAGCCAATTGCACACAGCAGTATGCCACAAACAGTCGTGGATTGAGTGACTGAATTATTATTTATTTATTTATTTTTGAAGGGATTATAAAACCCCAGAAAAGCAATCTGTGAATTGACAACCAGGTTTCTACTGATTGCTAGTAAACAGAGGTGTGTGAAGTAAGGAAGCTTGCCCAATGTTTCGCCCTGCCCGGGAATCAAAGCCAGGTCCTCTCGATTGCGAGGCGAGTGCTCTAACCACTGAGCTACAATAGTGCACTGTAACATTAAAATAACCAATTCATCACTTGAATTGGTTATTTTAGTGTTCAAGAGCAGCCCGGTGTTTGTAATTTTTTATGTAGAACTACATAGAATTATTTGGCCTAACTAAATTTGCCCTTTGGCTGTATGAATCATACAAATCAGAGAGTTTGAAGATTGAAGAAGATCAAAATACTTTGGCACAGTGCAATGACACAATTCACAGGTCTGAAAGTATATAATTTTCTTGATTGAAAATGTTTGAAAATGCGTTGTGTCTAGACAAAAGAAGCAGAGAGCTTCTTTCTCCTGTGTGTCTGTTTCATCAATGGAAATGAGCTTTTACTCTAAATTACTTGTGGTGAGATTACAGGTTTTGAGTTCAGTTTCAGGTACATGGGAGCTGGAGTGGATTCAGATGCTATCCAATATTTGATTGAAAAAATCTAAATGGGGTGAAAAAAGTTGTGAATAAAATGATGGACAAAGTATTGGGTCCTGCTCACAAACAAAAGTGGAGTGCCTCCAAAATTCATAGTTTTTTTTAAACCTGATTTGATGGTTCTGGGAAATTGCTGCAGTGTGAACCATCTCTTCTATAATACTAATTCTTGATTTGGTATAGCACCTTATCACGTCATTGAGCCACCTCAAAGCACTTTGTAGAATATATTGTAAAGTAAATTGACTGTATATTTTATGGGCGATTCTAAAATGATCCTTGGGGGAAAATAGAGTGATAAAAGTACTTTAAAGAATTTGTTTTTTAAAAATGAATGGAACCAATCCATTGAATTTATTTAGTGAATTGTTGATGTAACGTCGAAATATGTGTTGGTTATAATGGCTCAAAATAGTTAAATACTGCCAGCTGGTTTGTGCAAAACTGTAATCCCCTAGGATTATCTTGCATGTTTAAGAATCCTCAACAGGGTCAGGGCTGGGTATGACCCAAAGTGAAATCCACCCCCTCCAAAAAAAACTCTGAAGTGCTTTCAAAATTCCCTAAAGTTGCCTATTTATGTTCTTTGGCTCAAAAAAAAACTACCAAAAAAGGGATTTCTGTCTGTGTCTCCACTAACCAAGAACGAGCAACTCCCAGCCTAATCCCTGACAAGCACTGTACTTGCATAAATGCTTTTAATCAAAGTTGTGTCATTCAAGTAAAGCTGGCATTTTAGTACAGGTCGGGGATCTCAGTTCAATAACATGCATTGAATGCTCTATCCACACAGGCATTTTATTAATTTTAAAAGAATTAGATCAAAGTATTTCAGTAAGTTGGATTTTTTGAATTTGACATTATCCTGGAAACACATAGACCTTTTGAAAATTGATGCTCAGCATCGGTCACTAATAAGCGTGTAGCTGGGAGTAGGGTAGCCAAAATACTAATTGTATAGCATGTAAAATAACCATTAAAATATTTTGGGTTTGAGTCAACCCTACCAAGTCACAGCCTCCTGAGACTGTCCTATTGCTGGAAATGTTAGCAACTTCCAGCTATTCACACAAAGAGATGATAATTATATTTACAGCTACAATCTGGCAACCATAGAAGCCCATATTTGTATACACAGGATTCAGTCCATTTAGTTGAAGTTATTGCTCACATCCTATATAAAGAGTCAGTGATTGATGCTGTATATTTTTGAAATGCCAGTTCCCATGAGCACTGGTATTTGGATGGCATTTTACCCTCTTTCGGTTCCTGCTATTCCCATGATATTTCTGCTATTCCCAATCTGATTTCTTCATTAAGCAAGTGATCCAATTCCTATCCTCTTTTTCTTAAATGTTATTTTCTACTCTCTGAGGAATAGTGATCGCATGAGGTGTGACATGATTACCACTTCACCTGGATGGTGAAACCAATAACAGGAACAGTGTGTGTGTGTTTGTGTGTGATGTTGTTAGTGTGTCTTCATGTGCATTTATGTGTATGTGTCTGTCTGTATCATTGGTGTTCGTGTATGTGTGCATGTGTGAGCGTAGTGTTTGTATGTATGTGTCTGTTAATGTATGAGTCTGGTGATTTGTGTGCGTGCAGGTGTGGTGTATGCAAGAGGTGCGTGCATTTGTGCCAGATGTGTCTTTGTGGGTGTGCGTGTGTAAATGAGTGCAGGAAAGTAGGCTTAAACCTTTTCACTCCAGAGAACATCAAAATGGAGCACTGCTGTGTGGTGCCGTCATATGACTTCTGCCTTTATGATCGCCTTGAAAATCTTTCCTCAAATGTTGTCCTAATAGCAAATATTTTTGAGTAAAATTATGTTCAGTGCAACAGGCAGCGCCTTTAGCAATGCACAACTATAGTGAAAAATTTTATTGAAGACTGACTCTCCAAAAGTGATGTTGAACGGAATTTCTACTCCATTATCTTTTCAAGACTCTGCAGTTTACAAGTCGTTGATGTAGCTGTGGGGTGTAAGTACAGCAATCATAGGGCCTGAATGGAAATTTGATTAACCCCCTACACCCACCCTCCCATCTATGTTTATTTAGTAAGAACATCTTAATATTTGTATCATTTAACAGAATGGAGATTTTTAAAATTATAATTATTTTTACTTTGGAATTTAAGAATAAGTAAGAAACAATGGAGGGATCACATACGTTTAAAATAATAATCTTTGCATTTGATACTGCACCTTTCACTTCAGGAGGACATCTCAAAGCACCGTATTGGACTATTGTACTGAGTTTACTCTTTATTAATGTGCAGTGGTGGTGTATTCTGAAGCCATTTTGTTTGCTTTCCAGATTGTCAACACCAGTTGGACACTTAAAAGCCTAAATTTATTGAAACAAGTAACATTTACATGGAATAAGTACACAAAACGGGGCAAGTTTATGAAGCTGCAGTTGTTGGTTTGTCATCTGATTGACTTGGAACCATAAAAACAAGCAAGAAAAATAATTGCACAATTTTTAATCTAGTTTTTCACCATTGCAATTTTAACTGACATTCACGCAATATAAATCCCCTGGTGCTAGATTTGAATCAGCACT